TTGTAGATGCCGCGTGGGCCGTCTTCGCAGGTGGCGGGAAGAGCCGCAAAACGAACAGAGGTGGGGAGACAACGCTCTCCATTATGGCGCGGAGTAGGGGGCTCCCGACTGCAAAAAGAAAACGGGTCTGTGGTGATCAGGGTGTGACACGCCTCGTTTGCACACCCAGCAAGAGGCGCTGACTTCCAGCGCGCTCTAATCTGTGAGCATTGGCACCTCAGTGAACCGTGGCGCCATTTCATGTCATCTCCCGTAGCGGCCCAGTGCGAAGGCCGCGGAGCAGTTGCCGGCTGTTGTCGCAGCGCACCCGAGAGAGGAGAGGCCAACATTGGTGCGCTCGCGGTGAGCGTTAAGGTGCGCCTGGAGGCCTCCCTGAAAGGAGGCCCCGGGAGAACCGCTTGGACGGGACGGAAGGCCTGTTTCAGGTCGTTCCATGTGGAGTGGGCTCGCTGGAACCTGTCCAGCTGATGGCCAGACGTGGTCCTGGATGGAAAGAAGGGTCTGCGCACGGTTTGCGGCGCGGTGCTGCGGCGCCGTGGTGCTAGCGATGAGGGCCGTTTCGCGTTCCCGATCTGTGGCTGCCGCCCAGCCGCCATGAGGCGCTGCGCGAGAGAGCGTGCTTGCGACCCGTCAGTCGCGTTGGTGTCCCACCCGTGCGTGCACCCTCTCGGGCGGCAGGGCGGGCGCCGGTCCCCGTGCCAAGGCGGGGGGTGGGGAACGGCCTGGTGGCCAATGGTGGTGGCCGCGGAGGCGGGGTCTTGGTGGGCCGCCTGCCCCTCGAGGCACTGCTCCCGAAGGCGTTCGCTCCTGCCGTGCTGCCCTGTCGTCGTCGGCGCTGTGGCCGTCGCTGTGGTGACCTCCCGATGGAGCAGCGGCAGCTTTTCATTGCTGTCCACGGCCGCACGGAGCCCCAGTGGGTCCTCATCTTCTCCTTGGAAGTCGTCTGTTTGGCTACCCTCTGGTTCGCCGAGATCGTCGAAGAAGTTTGGCCCTGGTTGGCCTTACGTTTGCGCGGGGTCGCCAGGTGAGCCTGGTGGCGCGTCACTTGCCCCAAAGTGAGCGGGTCAGGCTTCATGTTGCTGAGCACCCAGGGAGTACCCCGCGCGTCTGTCTGGAAAGGGCAGCGCGTGGTGGCGACCGCCAGAGATCGCGACAGTCGTGCTGTGAAGAGCCGCCGCGACGTTGTGTCGCCACGCTCCGTCTGCGGCATCTTGCTGCAGGGTGTGCAAGCATGCTCCGGCAGTGGCGGTTTCATGTGCGTGGCGGTTAGAGGGTACTGCGGTCCGCGTGATTCGACTGTCATGTATGGCTTGCTCACCGAGATGGCCGTCGTTTTTGTTCTGGACCTTGCACATGTCGGGCTTGGTTTGGAGGGCGCGACGGGTCTTTTGCCAGAGCTCTGCCTGGGCTCCAGTGACTTGTGGTGGTTTTCCTGCGAGGAGGGCCTCGAAGCCGTCGTCGACGGCTTTGCTGTCCACGGATGCGTGGGCAGGCCGCTCGCACCAGCCACTAGGTGGAGCGGGGTGGGGGTCTCCGCGCGCTGCGCGGCGTGGGCCAAGCCGTGCACCCGAGCCCCGAGCCGTGCTGGCTGATATGTCAAACTGGATGCCCCTTTTGTCTGCGGCGGCCAAAACTCAAGAGGGAACAAAAACACACAGACACAATTAATCGACGATCCTCAGGGGAATATGGGGAAATATGGGAAGTGGGGGGGGGGAACACAAAAACCCAGGAACTATGCGAAAATATGGGGACTTTTGTTATTTGTGTGTATGTATTTGTGTGTCCCAGGGCCCCTTCAAAAACGGCTGGGGCGTCGACCAGCTTGGTGCCAAAAGTGGCGATGATTTGGCTTCTTGCCCGCTGCCATGCCGCGGCGCCCCAGCAGCTGAGCGGAGCGGAAAAGCGGGAGGTGGAGATGGCAGTGAACGCGGCGCAAGGTCATCATCGAGCTGCTCGCGCGCGTGGTCAAGCTTCGCCGTCCCGGGGCGCTCCCTGGGGCTCTTCCGTGCCGTGCCTGGGCCTCGTGGCTGGCGCGTGCCCGCTGGTGGGCGCTAGCCCCGAGAACTGGGAGGTGAATAGCTCCTGCGTGGTGGCGACGGCATCGGCGTCCCAAATCTCTTCGCGGACCCAAATCACACGTGTCTGCTGGGTCGAGGGCGACTTGCACGACGTTCAGCAGGCATGTGGCCTCTGCGCGGCCCAGTTGGTACATGCTTCCCTGTATGTGGCCTGGCGTGGGCTTGGTCGGCTTAGTCGGCCTACGGAGGATAGGGATTCGGACGATCTTCTGAAGGTAATCGGTGTTGATTGGTCCCAGGATGGCTCGGGCGAGGGACTTCTCCTGTCGGTGCATTTGCTGTAAGAGTCGGCTGCGTGCTTTTAGCGTGTGAAAGCAGATGCTGCTGCTGCTGTACGATGCGCCCTCCTCTGCCTTCTAGGGAGCAAGCACGGTGGAAACACTCTCGTTCTGTTCATCCGGGCTGATGATGAATGGGGCGGTGCTGTTGCCTCCCTGGCGATTCGCGGCTGGAGCCCGCCTGGTGCGGCAGGGAGGGATTCAGCATGGTGAAGCTAATCGTTTTTATATCCCGCGCATTTTGAGCAGCCCGCCCCTGAGCATGGGCTGATTGGAGCGATGTTGTTGGTAAATGATGTCAGGTTCGGCGTTGCGCTTGTGAGCCAGCTCTTTGTATGCAGCGGCTGTCCGGTCGACGCCACCACTGCTTGGGAGTGCTGCGACGCAGTTTTCATGTCGGGGCAGAGTGCTATCCGGTAATGCTACCTTTTGGCGGTCCTTGCTTGGTGACTTGGGCTGTGGATGATTGGAACGCTCACGGGGGCCATGGCGATCGCGCGTGACTGAGAGAGATGTGACACGAATCGGCCCCGTACGATTGGTACAGTTACGGTCTCATCGGACTGATCGTGCGCGGAAGGTTTCGTGTCGCGGTTCGCCCCCACCACAGGGGAAGGAGGTGGGGGAGGACGGAGTTGGAGGGGCGGGAGAATGAGGAGGGGGAAAAACGCGGGGGGTGGAGGTGGGGGGGAGTTGGAAGTGAGAAGGAGGAGGAAGAGGAGGGGGAGAGGAGGAATAATGGGGAGGAGGGGGATGATGAATCGACGGATGAGCTGGCGGGGCAGAACAAAAAACGGATACTCGGATAATGGTGGCAAAGGCGACCATGACGGTCGCGACGACGATGATGATGTTGGTGACGATGATGATGGTGTTGGCGAAGGTGGTGGCGACGACGGTGGTGGTGGTGGTGATCATGACGGTGACGATTGACGGTGATGGCGATGAGGGTGATGATAACGTCGCTGATGATGGCGATGATGAACGAGGAGGAGGAGGAGGAGGAGGAGGAGAAGGAGGAGGAGGGGGAGGGAGAGGGGGAGATGGAGGAGAGAAACGATGAGGAGAATGAGAAGGAAGATGAGGAGGAGGAGAAGGAGGAGGAGGAGGGCTCAATGAGACCAGGGGGTATGAAGCCGGGCGTTTGCGCAACACCCTTCGAGCCGATCCTAGGGCCCCTTCGCGCACCCGACCTCCACAGGTCAGGTCGTCACTTGGCGTTCAGCGCTCACTCTACAAGGGGGAGGGATACTCCTCTGCAACCCCCTCTTCCTCCGACCCCCCTCCTCTCCTCTGCTTTACTCGTCTATCCTCCATTCCCCCTTCTTCCGTTCCTTCCGATCCCTTTCCTGCTCTTTCCCCCCCCCTTTCCGTCCTGCGGCCTGGCTCCTGGAGACTTCATTACGGTTCTCCTCTCGCCCCATCCCCAGAGCCCAGGGGCATCGGAGGGCAATGGAGGGACGCCGTGGAAGATCACTCATGGAGCTCCGACACCCCCTTTCGCTGCATGCTTCCCTGCGCGCTTCGTAATGGAAACGGGGGGGGGGGGGGCGGGGGGGCAGAAAAATGGGGGGGGGGGGGGGGGTCAGCGGGGGCTGCAGAGCGGCTGCCCCAAAGGGGGGCCCCTGGGGCCCCGAAGGGGCACGCAGGCTTCTCCCTCCCGCCCCACCAAACCACCCCAACCCAACCCGAAGGCTCAGATTTACCCTCGATTTCCAGTGTGTGGGGGGGGGGGGTCGGGAAACATCGAACAAAACACATGTGCAACCCTTACCCCCCCCCAACCCGAAATTCGGGCCTTCGGCTTGGGTTGGGGTGGTCTGGTAGGTAGTCACTCCCTCCCCCCCCCCATTTACGGACCCCCCGCTTGGTAGCGCCCGAGCTGCTCAGCCGTTTGGGCTCCGGGCCCGGGGGTGGGGCGCTCGCTGCGGCCCTGCGGCCCCGCCGGCGCCATGGCCCCGCCGCGGAAGGGCGGGGCCGGCGACAGCGGCCCCGTGGACCCCAGCGCCGTCTTCGTCCGAGGCCTTCCGGAGGACTCGCGCCCCGGCGCCCTCCTCCTCCTCCCTCCTCCTCCTCCTCCTCCTCCTATCGATCCTCCCCTCTCTCCTCCTCCTCCTCCCTCCTCTCCCTCCTCCTCTCCCTCCCTCCTCCTCCTCCGCCTCCTCCTCCCCCTCCTCCTCCTCTCCTCCTCCCTCTCCTCCTACTCCTCCTCCTCCTCCTCCCTCCTCCTCCTCCTCCCTCCTCCTCCTCCTCCTCCCTCCTCCTCTCCTCCTCCCTCCTCCTTCTACGCCTTCTCATCCTCCTCCTCCTCCTCCTCCTCCTCCTCCTCCTTCTCTACCTCCATCCCTGGCCATTGGGTGCCAGAATTTGTTGGTCAAGTTCAAGTTGCAAGTTCGGTCGCTACCGATGCTGCTTCAAGCTCAAGTTTCAAGTATCGGTCGCAACCGATTTTGGAATCGGTCGCGATCGGTCGCGACCGATTTGGAGTGCTGGTCGGCCGCTACCGGCCGCGACCGAACACATCCAGTATCGACCAGGTCGCAAAAGTGTTCAGTTTCGCAATAGAGGGTCCTCTTCCCTCTGCTGTCGCCGCGCCTGCTTTTGCCTATGCTGCTCCTTCATTCCTCTTCGTTCTGAATAACTCCTCCCTGTTGCACTCAGAGGGCAGTTGGAAGAACGGGCTGGGCGTTTCGCCTGAGACTTCCTTGCCATGTAGGATCCTGAAGTTCCGGATTCAGCAACAATTGCATCGATGGAGGGCGGGTGGTTTTAAACCTGTGGCTCTCGCACTAGCGCCTCACACATTCGTCTTACAAGTTTGCAAGCATTTGACGGATTGAGGGTGGGCCGTTTTCCAAAGGTGATTCTCGCCCTAGCGCGGCGCCTTAGCGCCACGCAAGCGTTTCACGTGTTTGAGGGCGGGTAGTTTTCATGATGCGGTTCTCGCCTGTGCGCAGCCCACATCTGTTCTTGGTGTAACAAAAGGTTCCTTCTGCTTAAACGGAGGAATTTCACAACATACCAGGAATGGCGTTCTGGAGCGATTCAGGATTGCCAGAGCGCAACAGTTCATTGATTCGCGGAGTTGAAGTTCCAGGAATGGTGTTCTTGCGCCATACAGGATCGCCAAGGCGCCACAATCAGATCCGTGGCTTTGAAATTCCAGGGATGGTGTTTTGGCACGCTTAAAGATCTTCAAACGATTGCTTCCCAACGGGGCACTCCCCTCAGTGGAATTGAATCTTTTTCGTGGCATGTGAAGAGGGAGCTCGGAGGGAGGACTGGTTCCAACATCGTTGATTAGTCTTGAATTTACACTGGTCCTCCTCCCTCCTCCTCCTCCTCCTCCTCCTCCTCCTCCTCCTACTACGCCTCCTCCTCTTCCTCCTTCTCCTCCTCCTCCTCCTCCTCCTCCTCCTCCTCCTCCTCCTCCTCCCTGAGAGTAACCTCTTGCGCACGCTTGCACGGTTGCTCGAGGTAGGGATTGCACGCGTAAGCGCCGCGTTGGGTTCAGTTCCTGTCAAGCCGCCGCGCGCAGAGCCGAGTCAGATCCGATCTGATCCTCCCTGAGGGCACAGACGACGCGGCGTTGCGGGCGTGGTTCGAGTCCAAGATCGGGCCAGCGGTCACCTGCTGGACCCTAAAGGGCGGCTCAGGCCTCGTGAAGTTCAGAGAGGAGCCGGACGCCCAGCGCTGCCTCGACGAGCTGGACGGGGCGGAGTACGAGGTCGGAGGGCGCCACCTGTGACACTTGCACCGATCCTGGGCGTGCCAACCCTGAGACCCGATCCCGGGCGTGCCAAATTCAGCATCGCGTACAAAAACAGCACGACTTTAGCCCCGGACCCCATCCTTCTGCGCCGTCGTTTGCTTTGAGCCGGATCGAGCTGTGAGGACCCCGGGGCCCGAGATTTTACAACATCGCCCGTTGCGGACAAAAATGCGAGCCCCCAGGATCTCAGGGAGCCCTGGGCCCAGGATGGACCCTGCGCCCAGATCGGTTCCGGTGTACAGCTGGCGTCCCTCTGCGATCGGGGGCGGCAAGGAGGGGGGTGATGACTAGGGGGGGGTGGATATCATGGCGGGGGCCATGATATTTCCCCAGATCTCATGGCGCCTCTTCTTGTTTCATCACGTCTATGGTCCCCCCGCTGGGCCGCGCACCTGCCGCCGATCACGATGTGCACCCCCCCCCTCTTGGACAGCCCCCTCCCGGCCGCTCCCGATGCGAGGGCTCCGCGCTGAAGCTCCAGCCCGCCAAGACGAAGCGGCAGGGCAGGAGCGGCCGCCCCCCAAGCGAGCGCCACGATCACGGAAGTTGTGGGGGGGTCGAGCTATGAGCTCACTGTGAACCTCGAGCTTAGAATTCCAGCATTAATTTTTGAGTCGGGCCTGTCCCCCTACAGGAGGAATTTCGACGAAAATAAACGATACCCCAAAAATGAGTCAAAAAGGTCAAGAACTAATCTAAAAATAGTCCCCAGACTATGTTTGCATTATTTTTTGATTATTGTTGGGGTATTTTTTTTTTCCGTCGAAAATCCCCCTGTAGGGGGACAGGCCCGACTTAGCATTAATTCGATAAAGCAGAAGCCTCTGTAGAGTGATACTGACCTTTCGGAGATAGCTCGAATAGCAGGCCAACCTCATATGTCTCAGGGAGTGGGCGAGCCGAGACACCGGTCGTAGACGCCTGTACGGACAGGCAGCCGAGCGCATCTCTCGGCTCGGCGCTGGAGGGTCATCCAACGCCGCCCCCCCCCCCCCCCCCGGGACCCGCAGTCCAGGCCACATGGGAGACGTTTCGGCCTCGGCCCGCTTCGTCCCAGCCCGTGCCCGCTCCGGTCCGTTCCGTCCCGGCCCGTTTCGGCTCCGGCCCGTGCCGGCTCCGGCTCGCTCTTGGGCTTCGTTCCGGGATGGCGTTGCCTCCTCCTCCTCCTCCTCCTCCTCCTCCTCCTCCTCCTCCTCCTCTTCCTCCCCCTCGTTTTCCCTCCTCCCAAACGCCCCAACGCTGCGGGCGGCTCCGACTCCCGAGTGGCGCCCCCAGCCCACTCCTCCTCCTCCTCCTCCTCTCCTCCTCCTCCTCTCCTCCTCCTCCTCCTCCTCCTTCCTCCTCCTCCTCCTCCCCCTCCTCCTCCTCCTCCTCCTCCTCCTCCTCCTATCCTCCTCCTCCTCCTCCTCCTCCTCCTCCTATTACTCCTCCTCCTCTTATTCCTCCTCCTCCTCCTCCTCCTCCTCCTCCTCCTCCTCCTCCTGCTCCCCCTCCTCCTGTTGCTCCTCCTCCTGCTCCTCCTCCCTGCCCTCTTCTGGAGGAGGGCCGCCGCCCACGGCGGGCAGGCCGCCCCGGCCGCCCGGGCCGTGGCCTGGGGCTCCTCGGCCTCGTCCACCGCGCCCGGGGGCGGCGGCGGCGCCGCGGGGGCCGCCCGCGCCGAGGGCGGGGCGCGGGACCTCCGCGCGGCCCTCGGAGGGGAGAGCAAACGCCACAAGCTCACCAGCCTGGAGCATCTCCCCATCCCTCTGCTGGGGGCACCTCCTCGTCCCGATGCCGATCTCAGGGGGTTCCCTGACTTTTTGGGGGCGAGTCCCTAGGATTGTCCTCGGAGGGGAGAGGGAACGCCACAGACTTCTCGGGCCGGGCGAAAGGGGGGGAGTGGGAAAGGGGGGGGTACGACGTCTGCGGCATGCAGCTGGTTTCGGCCCCACCGAGGGGCCCATGCCTCGATACATGGCCGCCTCCCGGCGCCGGGAGGCGCCCATCAGCTACGTGAGCTGATTCTCAACCCCCCCCTTTGCTATCCCCCCCTTTCGCCCGTCCCGAACTTACCAGCCTGGAACATATCCCCATCCCTGTGCTGGGCACCTCCTCATCCCGATGCCGATCTCAGGGGTTCCCTGACTTTTTGGAGGGCGAGTCCCTAAGGCGAGAGAACGCCACAGACTTCTCGGGCCGGGCGAAAGGGGGGGAGTGGGAAAGGGGGGGTCACGACATCTGCGGCATGCAGCCGGTTTCGGCCCCACCGAGGGGCCCATGCCTCGATACATGGCCGCCTCCCGGCGCCGGGAGGCGCCGGGAAAATCAGCTACGTGAGCTGATTCTCAACCCCCCCCTTTGCTATCCCCCCTTTTCGCCCGACCCGAACTTACCAGCCTGGAACATATCCCCATCCCTATGCTGGGCACCTCCTCATCCCGATGCCGATCTCAGGGATTCCCTGACTTTTTGGGGGCGGATCCCTGAGATTGTCCTCGCCTTTTGGCGTGTCAATCTTAGGGATAGGGGTACGTTCGAGGCTGGTAAATAAACATGAGCGTTTGGCGCGCCGCGCGAGGTTCTTGGCGCCGCGCTGGGCCGCGCCGGGGAGGGGCCAGCCTGGCATCGCTCGGACGTGTGCATTTTTTCTCGGCGAGGGCCATCGAGGAGCATCCTTGATCATTTGGCGAAGAAGCCACGCACGAAACCGACAAAAACACAGGGAATGGACGTCCGAGCGATGCCCAGGGGGGGTCCAGCGCAAATCCAAGCAGCCCGCGCGGAGCGCCACACGTTTTTGAGCTTATGGCGTTTTTTCTTTTTCTTCCAGGTCCGGCTCTCGGGCCTGCCGGCCAGCGCGAAGAAGGAGGAGGCCAGGGGCGCACTCGCAACGGGTGGGACAGGGGATCGGCTATAGAAGTGGTTTGTACCCCAGAGCTGTTTTTCTCCCGTCGGAGCTACGAGCAACACGTAGACTGCTCCGTAGATCTCGGGAGCTTTTTGAACCTGTCGATTCGGACGAATAGTCACTTCAGGGGTAGGTCGACGCTGTGGTCGATCCCTCGGATGGGGGGCCGGCGACATGATGTTCTGAGCCACGGCGTTCTGCTTCGACGGCGGCCTCTGGGCATTTGGGCCCTGGGGCCTCTGGGTCGAGAAGCTGCGCCCGGGGAGTGGGTCGGGACCTCTGCGGCCGCGCATGATGTCGGAGCAGGGAGCGGGGCCTCTGGGACCTCCGAAAATTTGCATCGTCCAGCGATATGATTGCCTGGACGCCTCGTCCCAGACATCCGACGATAATCGTCGGATGTCTGGGACGGGGCTCTAGAGGCCTCCCAAATGGGGTCCGAGCAGATGGGGACGGAGGATAGCGTCGCACCGTGGAGGTATCGGAGATGCGACTCGATGTGGGGCCCGAGTTTCTTCGCGCTGGCGTCGCCGATGCGCTGCCGACGTCGCCGATGCATCGTCGATGTATCGTCGATGCGGCGCAATCCTCCGACACCCTCTACTCGGACCCCATTTGGAAGGCCTCTAGGGGTGTCCAGCCAGGTCGCCTCCACCCCCGCCCTCAGATGATCGGGGGACCTTCCTGGAGCCCACCTGACGGATCTTTTCGACCCTACTACGATCCCAGTTCGATTCAAGTTCGATTCAAGCTCGACTCAAGTTCGACTCAGGTTCGACTCTCGGTCGACTCGGGGTCGACTGAAATCGACGGACGTTCGACGCAGCTTCGACGCACGAGTGGAGCGAGTGTCTTCAGAATGGTCCCCAGAATGAGCATCCAACCCTCCAGCTGCCCGGGAGCCACGTGGCGCGCACCCAAGGGTTGTGGACGACGATCAATGGAGAGGAAGCATGTTGCCAAAACATCATGTAAAAACAGGTTTGAAGCATGTTTATACCATGTTTCTGTCATGTTAAGCACATATTTTATTCAATGATCGGATTGTCAGGGTTGTGAGCGTTTTTTATCAATGATTTTGCCGATCGGCGCGGGCCCTCACACCCCCCCTCCCCCCTCCACCCCCTCCCTGGAGTAGATCTTGGCTGGCTGTTTTGTTTTTGGCGCCTGCTTCGAGCGGGTGGAGTCTCCCCCGCAGGACGCACGGTTTCAAGCAGCCGCACCAAGCAGAGGTCCAGAGTCAGACCACCCCCCCTCCCCCCCCCTTCCGCCCAATGTCGAACGCCGAATCAGACAACGCCCACATGTTTGAAGCATGTTTAGACCATGTTCCCGACATGTTAAACACATGTTTACTTCAGTGACAGGATTGTCTCCCCCATAGGACGCACGGTCCCCAACAGCCGCACTAAGCAGAGGTCCAAGGCCACTCCCCCCTCCCTCCCCCCCCCACTTCCGCCCAATGTCGAAACGCCGAATGAGACAATGTCCACATGTAGGAAGCATGTTTAGGCCATGTTTCCGATATGTGACACACATGTCAGTTCAGTGACAGGATTGTCAGCGTGTCCGACGATGACGGTGACGAAGCTTTCCTCCCAATGCTAACGTGCGAACCATTGGTGACCAAAGGGCCGGCTCGCACGGGACTCTGCCTGAGCCCGTGGGCAGCCTCGCTTGCGGAGCGTTTTTTCGAGCCATCGCGCCCTCGAGCCCTCGCGCCCTCGAGCCCTCGCGAAGAGGACTGTCAGAGGGTGTCCGTCGCCGTGGCATCCACAACCCCAAAGGGGAACCCCTCTCCCCCTCTCCCCCTCGGGGGGGACCCCCTCTCCCCCTCCTCCCCACAACCCCCAAGGGGAACCCCTCTCCCCCTCTCCCCCCATCCCCATCGCGGGGGGCACACCCTCCCCCCTCGGCGGCAGCGGCCGGGGGCGGGCGGCGGAAGCCCCGCGTGCAGCGGCGGCGCTCTGCTGGCGGAGGCCGCCGCTCGGGCAGAGCCGTAGGGCCCCAGGGGAAGGGGGCCCCGTTGGCGGGAGGGCCGGGAGGAGCGCGCCGCATCGCCGAGGCACCGGCGATGCGGCTCGATGTGGAGCACGGTTTTTTCCACGACGACGTCGGCGATGCGATGCGATCCTCCGACCCCGTCTGATCCGACCAAATGTGAGAGGCCACGAACTCTAGATACGGGGTCTCCAGAAGGCTGGGCCTCTTGCTCAGGGCCGGCGCTTCGTCCCGAGTCTGATGCTGGTCGGGTATATCGCCAGGACCCCAGGTAAGGGGGCCCAGTTAGGGGTATGGGGCCCCGGAGCCCCGAGATTGGCCAGAATCTCTAGACCGGGTCTGCCGCAGTTGGTGTTTGTTCGGGTGACGGCAGCTCCAGTTCGTGGAACGGGGCGGGGGGGTATCCCCCAGTACACATCACTAATTACCAGTTTGAAACATATCCCTATCCCTATGTTTGACATCACCTCACCTCGATGCCGATCTTAAGGATTCCCTCAGTGTCTGAGGGCCTGTCCCTAAGACTGTCCTCGATTTTTGCTCGCCCATCTTAAGGATAGGGATAGGTTCGAGGCTGGTTAACTAAAGCAGGTCCCACTAAACCCAGTTCTGCCAACGCCCGAGCCAGACACAAACATCGGCCCCTCAAGAAGTCTAGGCTCAAGTCGGGCACGTCCCTCTACAGGAGGAGTGATCAAAGATTGTAAAACAAATAGTGTTGGGACCATTCGTTCCTACTGTTTTTGATAATTTCGGGGGGTATTGTTCCCCAGTCAGTACTTGCACTGAAGGGGTCCTAGCGGAAGTTGAAAGATTTGGCGCAAGTTTCCCGCCGAGTTTGACAGCAGGCTGGTTCCAGGGTTCCCAGTTCCGGGTGCCCGGGTTCCCGGTTATTGGTTCAGGGCAGATTTCGGTGGGTTCTGGGTTCCTGGACTCCCGGGTTCCCGGTCGATCTTTTCTGCGAAAACCATCCCCCGATTGAGGTTTTTCTGTTGTGTAATTCCCAACCCTCCTTGGTTTGGTATTCGTTTTGAATAGAGCACTGCGGTCTCCAGTCCTTCTCCGCCTCGCCTCCTTCTCCTCCTCCTCCCGCCTCCTCCCGCCTCCTCCTGCCCTCTCTTCGCCGTCGCTGGAGGGCTGCGATCTGTGAAACTGTCGCCAATTTCGAGCGCTGCTGGTGGGTCCTGCGGAGTGAGGCACCGCGGGGATCTGAGCGGGACCTCGCCGTCCATGGGGTGGCTGCGATCTGCGACACCTGTCGCCACTTTCGAGGGCTGCTTGTGGGTCCTGCGGCGTGAGGCACCGCGGGGATCTGAGCGGGACCTCGCCGTCCCTGGAGGGCTGCGATCTGCGACATTGTCGCCACTTTCGAGGGCTGCTGGTGGGTCTTGCGGAGTGAGGCACGGCGGGGATCTGAGCGGGACGTCGCCGTCCCTGGTGGGCTGCGATCTGCGACACCTGTCGCCACTTTCGGGGGCTGCTGGTGGGTCCTGCGGAGTGAGGCACCGCGGGGATCTGAGCGGGACGTCGCCGTCCCTGGGGGGCTGCGATTTGCGACACCTGTCGCCACTTTCGAGGACTGCTGCGGGGGAGAGGCACCGCGGGGATCTGAGCGGGATCTCGCCGTCTCTGGGGGCTGCGATCTGCGGTCTCCACTTTCGAGGGCTGCTGGTGGGTCCTGCGGGGTGAGGCACCGCGGGGATCTGAGCGGGACCTCGCCGTCCCTGGGGGGCTGCGAATTCCGACACCTGTCGCTACTTTCAAGGGCTGCTGGTGGGTCCTGCGGAGGGAGGCACCGCGGGGATCTGAGCGGGACCTCGCCGTCCATGGGGTGGCTGCGATCTGCGACATTGTCGCCACTTTCGAGGGCTGCTGGTGGGTCCTGCGGAGTGAAGCACCGCGTGGATCTGAGCGGGACATCGCCGTCCTTGCGACACCTGTCGCCACTTCCGAGGGCTGCTGGTGGGTCCTGCGGAGTGAGGCACCGCGGGGATCTGAGCGGGACCTCGCAGTCCCTGGGGGGCTGCGATCTGCGACACTGTCGCCACTTTCGAGGGCTGCTGGTGGGTCTTGCGGAGTGAGGCACCGCGGGGATCTGAGCGGGACCTCGCAGTCCCTCGGGGGCTGCGATCTGCGACATTGTCGCCACTTTCGAGGGCTGCTGGTGGGTCCTGCGGAGTGAGGCACCGCGGGGATCTGAGCGGGACCTCGCCGTCCCTGGGGGGCTGCGATCTGCGACGCTGTCGCCACTTTCGAGGGGATCTGAGCGGGACCTCGCCGTCCCTGGGGGGCTGCGGCCTGCGACGCTGTCGCCTGCTGTGGGATACGTTAGGCGCAACGGGCGCATTGCACAGCCAACGGGGGTGATCTGTGAAACAGACCATCTGCCGGGCGATGGCCATAACGTTGCGCCTACACGTATCCCGCGGGGGCTCTCAAGAGCTGCTGTGGGATACTTTGGGTGCAACGGGCGCATTGCACAGCCAACGGGGGTGATTTGTAATTACGTAGCCCTTAGATCTTGATCGGGGGCTTGCGAGCATTCCGATTGCTGCTCCATGTTACGTCATCGCCCCCGTTGTAGCAAACCTGATGTACTTATGCCCCGCATTGCGCAAGGGTTGGGTACGTCGCCAGGGTAATTAAACCCTTTTTTAGGTTTTTCGCCCAAGGTCCGCCTATAGGGGAACATGCCCGACCTGAGTCTAGGCATCCTAGATGGTGTTGGAGGTCGGAGGATCGCGCCGCATCTTCGATGCATCAGCGATGCATCGGCGATGCGGCTCGATGTGGGGCCCAATCTTCTCCACGCCGACGTCGCCGATGCATAGCGCCGGCGTCGCCAGTGCATGGCCGATGTATCGCCGATGCATCGCCGATGCATGGCCGATGTCACGACGATGCGGCGAGATCCTCTTGCCCCATCTGCTCGGACCCCATCGAGGAGGCCTCTAGGCGGCCATGCTGGCGGAGGCCGCCGGACACAGACGCAAAACATCAGCACCGGAGGAGACGGTGCCGGTGTTTTGGCGCAGGGCTTGTTTCGAAGAGCGAACATGGCAAAAACATAAGTTCCCAGAGTTCCGCTCGGTTTTCGTGGATCGGCGTTGGGCCCCCCATGGCGGCGCCTCTGGCGCCGCCCCTGGCGCGCTCCGGACGCCATCGAGTGGGGTCCAGCTCCGATGCCAGAAACCCGCGTGGACCTCAGAGAAATTGTGTTTATGCAGTCTGGTGTTCTTTTACTTCCAGAACGGGCCTCAGGTGCAGCCTTGTGGCCGTCCTTGGTTCACGACGCGGCCCTGGCTGATCCGGGCCACGTAGCGTCAACCTGGTCAGCGCGTTTCCGCGGAGGGGATCACCGTTGCTCGAAGAGCACACCGTGGCAAGAGCACAGATTTTCGGAGACCCGCGCGGGGAGGGGGGTCCAGCGCCTACCCAAGAAGAAGTCCGCGCGGACCTCTCAAAGTTTTCTGTTCTAGTGGCGATGACGACAACAATGACCACGATCACGACTGCGTGACTACGACCACGACCACGGCCACGACCACAACGACAGTGACCACGACCATGACCACGACCACGGCGACCACAACGGCTTCGTCTTTATCATCGGTGTTACTGGGGCCCTCTTGAGGGTCCTGTCTCCACGGCTGGACGCAGGTCAAGAAATTTGCCATGATGGGTCCCAGACTGGATTTTGAGGTCCGGGCGGCGACCAGTTTTGATCAGATGTTCCTCGTGCTCGCCAGGAAGACACGGGGAACCCTGGTGGAAAGGGGCCCCGAGTATAGCTTGTTCCCCTAGGGTGTTTCCCGTGGCCTTTCCTGGGCCCCCCGAGGCCGCCAGGCATCAACTCGGGGTGAGACGCGGCATGATTTTCCCATGCGCGGTCCTAGAGGTCCCCGGGGCGCAGTAACGGCCCCCCGATGCCGAAACCTGAGGCAAAACACGCCTGGACCGAACAAGCCCGCATCGTCGGAGACTCGGGAAGCCAGTCCGGGGGGGGCGTCCCAGGGCATGCGGGACCCGTGTCCGCTCTGCCCCATGGCGAGGTCAGGGCTTGGGTCGAGAAGTGCTTGCCCGGCGGCTGCGGGCTGGAGAGCGTCCGGCGTGCGCTCGGCGAGGGCGACGACGCTGGGTCGGCCTCCTTCGTGGTCTCCTTCCACAAGGAGAGCAACGGCCGCCGTGCGCTGGAGGCCCTCCACGGAGCCAAGCTGAAGGGCCGGGTGGTGCCCGCAGAAGAACACATGCATGAACAGAAGCTTTCGGCGCTCCACGCGGACTTCTTGGATCTGCGCTGGGCCCCCCTGGCGGCGCCTGTGGCGCCTTCTCTGGCGCCTCCGCGCGCCAGGCAGAGCGCACTGGCGCGGATCCACGAGATGCGCGCGGGGCTCGAAATGATTACTGTACGGCGTTTGCTGGTTGCTCCTCCAGGTATCCGCCTCCTTCCGCGCCCTGGAGGTCAGCCGCCACAGCGCGAAGGCCGGGAGGCTGATCGTGCGGAACCTGGCCTTCAGCGCCACCGAGAAGGCCCTGCGAAAGGCCTTCGGGAAGCTGGGGCCCCTGGCCGAGGTCCACCTGCCCGCGAAGGCGGGCGGCGGGAGCGGCAAGCCGGCTCCGCACCGCGGCTTCGCCTTCGTGCAGTACGTCGACCCCGCGCTGGCCGAGCGCGCCGTGGCGGAGCTGAACGGCAGCAGGATCTGCGGGCGCGGTGTGGCCGTGGACCTCCGCGGGGAAAACTAACGGGGGCCGATGTTGCTGCCGTTCCGTGGGCTTCGCCCTGCTCGGCCTTTGGGAAGGCGCTCGTCGCCACGGCTGGACTCTGGCCAGGACGCACCGGGGCCAGGACGCACCGCGGGCGAGGAGGACTGGTGGAGTGGGGGTATCAGTACCCCCTTGCATTTCCAGGACTGGGCGGTCAGCGCGGAGCTGTACGGGAGCTTGCGGCGAGAAGAGGAGAAGAGGAAGGCCAAAGCCGACCGCGGGGCGCCCGACAGGCCGACCAAGGCGGCGGCGAGAGGCGCAGACGAGGGCCTTCCCAGAGGCGGCGGCGACGAGGAGGGCGAGGCGTCTAAGGATGAGTCGGAGCACGAAGGTGCAGAGGACGACGAGGGCGAGGAGGAGGAGGAGGAGGAGGAGGAGGATGAGAAGGCGGCAGCCGCCAGCTTGGACCCGGACGCGGAGATGCGCCGTATGAAGGGCCTTCTCGCCGATGGCGCCGAGGAGGACGAGGAGGAGGAGGAGGACGAGGAGGAGGACGACGAGGACGACGGTTCCAAGCAGGTGTCGAGGGCGTCCAAGAGGGGGGGAGAACTATGGGTGCAAAGGGTGTGTGGGGATGTCATGGCAGGGGCTACGAAATCTCATACTTACCCCCTGTTTCTTTTCTCTTTTAAAGCACTCCCTGGCCATCCCCTCTTCCGCGCGCATGCCTGGGGCCGTGATGCGCGAACCCCCCTCTTTCTGGTCCCCCCCCCTGTGGCGCACCTGAAGGTGAAGGTAACGTCCAAAGCCAAGGGTGGCAAGGACGGCCAGAAGAAGCCGCTCCGCAAGTCTGGCTACGACGTGGGCGAGGGCCGCACGATCTTCGTGCGGAACGTGCCCTTCGACGCCACGGAGCAGGACCTCCGGCAGTGCCTGAAGGCCTACGGCGGGGTGGCCTCCGTGAAGTTCGTGCAGGACCGGACCGGCCAGAACCCGCACCGGGGGTCCGCGTTCGTCAAGTTCCTCGAGGCCGAGGGGGCCAACGCCGCCCTCGCCGCCGAGAGCGAGGCGCAGCGCAAGCTCAAGGAGCTCTCCGCCGTGGTCAAGCGGAGCGAGACCCGGGACCTGCCGCCGGTGGAGGGCTTCGGCGTGTGCCTCAAGGGCCGCAGGCTCATCGTGAGGCAGGCGGTGGCGCCGCAGGAGGCGGCGAAGATCGTGGAGGAGAAGAAGCCCGAGAAGGGCGCCGCCCGCAGGGAGAAGATGGGGTGGATGCACCTCCTGCACGTGGGCGAGATCAACGATACGTCCCACAAGTGGGCGAGCCTGTCCAAGTCAGAGCAGAGGCAGCGGCAAGCCTCCATGAAGGAGCGCAAGTTCCGCATCAACAACCCCAACTTCGCGATCCACCCGCAGCGCCTGAGTGTGCGGAACCTGCCACACAACGTTGACGTGAACCGCCTGAGAGAGGTCTCGAAGAAGAAAAGACAGCATAAACATAATGTTTCGGCGTCCGCGCGGATTTATTGGGTCGGCGTTGCCCCCCGATCCAGGCGATCCAAGCAGCGAACGTTTTAGGTTTATGCAGTGTTTCTCTTCCTCGAGAGGTCGTGGTGGACTTCCTCAGCCAGGCAGATGGCAGCAGCGGCAAGGGGATAAAGAGCCGGAGGAAGGAGGCTCAGGCGAGCATCGCCAAGGCGAGCCTGGTGCGCGACTCGGAGCGGAGGACGGCGGACAACGTGAAGCGATCGCGTGGCTTCGGGTTCGTGGCTTTCAAGGACCACAAGACAGCCATGAAGGTCCTCGAGTACCTCAACGACAATCCGAGGGCCTTTGGGGGCACCCGGCGCCCGATCGTGGAGTTCGCGATCGAGGATAAGCGGAAGCTCCGCGTGATGGAGGACGTCCTCCAGAAGAAGAAGCAGGCCATGGAGAAGAAGCGGGCCGACGCCATCGCGGAGGGCAACAAGCAGAGGTACGGGGCCCCGGCAGAGCCGGACGCCGCAGGCAAGCACCTGGAGAGCGGGAAGAAGAAGGTCAAGAAGCACACGGAGAGCCGCGGCCGCAAGCAGCGGGAGAAGAGGCGCGCGCAGAGGGCCCTGGAGGCGCAGCAGGCCAAGGAGAGGGCCGCGGTGGAGTCCGTCAAGGCGGCGAAGCATAGGGGGGCACATGCGAACCCTACCCCTACCCCCCACGATTTCTGAGGGGGAGGGTGGGGTTCACTTCGCTCGGGAGCTCTCGAGCGAAGTGAGCCCCACCCTCCCCCTGAAGAATCGTGGGGGGTAGGGGTAAGGTTCGCATGTGGCCCCCTACAGGCGGTGAAGCAGGCCAAGTGGAGGCAGCAGCGCGCCGCGGAGAAGGCGGCCGCGGCCCCGAAGAAGAGGAGCTGGCGCGAGGTGTCCGACGCGGCGCAGTCCGGGAAGAAAGCGCGCAGGCTCGCTCGCTCCGTCTCCTCCCCCTTAACCTCCGACGAAGGCATCTCCGACAGGGCCATCCTGGGCCCCAGGATGGTGCATAGACCCTCCTGATGAGGAGCACGCACGCACGCACACACACACACACGCACGCACGCAC